AGGAATTGAAAAAATACATCGGAAAAACACGTGAATAAGAGCAATAATCATGTTGTTTGTTAACAAATGAACGCCTCAATAAAAACGAGTGAACATCTAAAACTGAGTATACAGGGTGGAATTTTGTAATGCCACCTGGAGGGAAAGTACTCTTAATACTTTAGATAGAAAATTTTACTGAAAGAATACATTCCTTTATTTATATTTAAAAGAGAACTGCATTCAAAGATTTTCGAAAATTTTTCTAATATTCACTACTACATATACCATACCATAAAATTTTCTGTAACATACCTAATTAAAATAATTTAAGATTTCATGGTTTTCATTTCATTTGATTTAGCAAATTTCATCCTTATGCTTAACCCTAACGATCGATGTAATAAAAATACAGGGTGTAATTATTAACAGATTTTAGTTGGTTCGATTCCCGGGTGTGGCAAGCAAATTTTTGGAAATCTTTGAATGCAGTTCTATTTCTTTTCAAAAATAAAGGAATGTTTTCTTTGAGAAAAAATGACTATCTACAATATTAAGAGTACTTTCCCTCCAGGTGGCATTACAATATTCCACATTCTATATTTAATACCTATTTATTTTAACTCAGTTGTAATACGACCTTCAGTAAATACGTGTTCTATTCGGATACAATCAGACAGAATCCAATTTCGGCTCATACATCTGAGCTACTCGTCCAGAAAACGAGTGATGCTAGTGTGAATAGTTGATTAGGGCATTTACATACAATAACAGCGTAATTCGGTGCGTCTGCATTGGATGATTGTATTATTCATGTCGGCCACGGCTAGTTAATTCGTGAGACGTGCTAATCAGAGGTATTATTGGGCTGGCTTTTATTACAATATAATTTTAGAAATGATGAAACATTTCATAACCTAAATAGAAATTTCGTCTGTGAGATAATAAAAGATAGGTTATTTTAAATGTTATGTGGCCACTATGAAGGGAGTGAGGATAAAGACAATCAACAGAGTCATCATGAAACTTCGATCGATGATCGTTGCGTGAAGCACCGTGAGACCTTTAGCGCAATTTGAAAAAGGTTGCCTATTTGGTACCGGTATGGTCGCACTTATTGTCTGCTTTAAATATTTTTTCGTCGTATGGGTTTAACCTACTGAGGCTACAACCCTAATGACAGACACTGGCTGCGGTAGGTATCTGACATGGCTCAACCAGATATCGCGCCCTCTGAGACACAGAATCAAATTTATTTCGCACAATCTGTGCTTTCAGCCTAGGCGCAGACCAGAGTTTTTCTCGGCCAATAGTTGGCTCGGGCCTCAGATCATATTCTATGATCACAAATAAGAATCAGGCCCAATTATCGGCTAACTAAGAGTCGGTGGTCTGCGCATAGGCTCGTAAGTCTTGCCTAGGACTCGACATAAGAACCTCTGAGTAAAATGAGCTCAACTGTGTAACCAGCCAGGGGCTTGAAAAATATAATATTGAATATGATATGACCAAACGAAAGGTCTTCCTACGAGTAATTTGTTTGCGAAATTGTTTGCGAGCGGAGATGAGCCCTGAATCAAACAGGCTCATCCCGAGGAACGCGGGGATTTGGTTACGCATACAGACGCGAATGTGATCAGTTGTGTACACGCAGTATGTAGCATATTAGCTCCATTGAAACAGGACAGGATCATCACGCTGTATGAATATAATATTCATGTATAAGGTGATAAATATATTTTAGCGAGCAGTAATAGTTTTTTGCACCGCAAAATAATTGATAAGTACTTATTAATTTTGACGTAGGGATTCGGTATCCCTATATACCGTGCACTCGACGAGCGAGCTATATTGTTTTGCTTGCCTAAGACCTGAACAAGTTATGGCCAAACCACAATAACAAGTGAAGGAGCGCTTTTTTTTTAACAAGATACCCTCGGACATTAAAAATATTGACTTGTTCGTTCAATGTATTAAAGAAGTGGCCAACGGGGCACATAGTCGCGAATACCTAGGTATTTGACAATGTGCTATCCTAGTCGCTCCTAAATCTGGGTCTATGAGTGAGTGATGGGTATATTTTTATTTTTTACTGAGTTCTCATGTAAGTGGCATACTTAATTGGTCTTTATGAGAATAAATGCATAAGTATTGCCTAAAGCACAATCTAGATTACTTTGAGTGATGGTAGTGATGTGGTATATTAAATAAAGTGAGGCCGAACTTAGGATTACAGAAAATAAATGTTGTATCCTACTTAAGTTAGCGTAACATTTTTCTCAATGCTCCCAATCACTAGTGACATGTATCATTTTTCCAGCATCACATCTGTGTGCGTGAGCCCACAGAAGTGCCTTGGAGCCGGCCGGCCGGCGCCCTAGTTGCGGCGTTTGGGACTGGGGCAGATAACAGCGCGCTCGGTCAACACGTCAATTAGACGGCCGACGGGTCGCCCGATCTGTTGACACACATGTTGACGTATGAACGACACCCCCGCGGAGGCAGACGTGGAATTATTTTTCTGTAACCAACTTTGATCTGCTGTAAATGTGATCGCACATATTTGGGGTAGTTGTTGCGTGGCATTGAAACACATCCATGGATTGGATAGTTACTATGGTAAAATCTTAGAAATAAAGTCTTACACACATGCTGAGTTGCACCACCTAACTTTGACCGTTACTTTGACGATAACCGGTGCTTTTTGTATGGATTTTGACAGATTTTTGACGTTTTTCAAAGTTAAAGTAAGATGGTGCAACCCAGCACTTAAGTTTTTTGGCCGATTCACAAAACTTGTTCTACTTAAAACAGGATTCCAACAAACTATGCTGTGAAGTGTGTAGAATTAAATAACTTTTTATCACACACTAAGTAAATAGAGGTGCAGGAATTCATATTATCAGATTTAAAAAAACAGTATTTAATTTAATATTTGATCCAACGTATAGAGCCATTAACTTTCCGAAGACTACAGACTTTTAGTCAGCGGGGTATTTTAAAAACATCATTGTATTTTCATCTTCAAAAGTTGACAGAGATGCAATGATATTTAAACATGTTTAGCATTCATCATCATCATCATTTCAGCCATAGGACGTCCACTGCTGAACATAGGCCTCCCCTAATGCTTTCCACGTTGATCGATTAGTAGCGGCCTGCGTCCAGCGCTTCCCTGATACCTTTACGATGTCGTCGGTCCACCTTGTAGGTGGACGTCCCACGCTGCGTTTTACGATACGCGGCCTCCATTCCAGAACCTTGCTGCCCCATCGGCCGTCAGTTTAGCGTACTATGTGCCCTGCCCATTGCCATTTTTAGCTTTACATAAACTTTATATTAACATTAGAATTTCAAAACTATTCAATAACTAATTTCATTTAGTGGAATTTTGTACAGGTGAATTTTCGTGGTATTCTAAAAACCGTTTTCAGTCACCAGTTTCAAGAAGGAACTTTTTCAAGTATTTGGCAGAAAATCAAGATTCAAAACTATAAAAAGGCAGGTAATGTAGGTATACTTAAACGAACATATGGACCATACAATAAATCTTGTTACCACGTAACCTAAATACGAGTACAAACATTTTCCTAAAATCAGTGCCTAGAAGATACAATAAATGTTCCACCAAGTTTTTATCGACAATCGAAAGAACCTACACGTGATTTCCACGAAGCCGATAAAAGATACTATACGCGTTTCTTTTTATTATTTTGCTGATCTTTCTGCAATTGGTCGGGTACAGTCGCTAGCACGTATATGTATATCTATGATGCAAAATAGCACGTATTACAGCCTACATAAGATAGTTAGTAGCTTGTCGTGCCGTCAGTCGTAGGTACTTCGGTCATTACTGGCTCGAATAAGTACGGCTGCGGGTAGCCGACGAATGTGACTTCTCCGCCATTTTGAACACTTGGCAACTTTGGGATAAGTATTATGATTATTTTGCTATTAGTGATTCGGATTACTTTAGCATTTGTTTTAGCACATCAATAGTTTTAGTAATTGTTGTTCACAGCAGGCAAAAAGATTTTACTTATATTCATAGTACCTACCTAATTGATTTTCTGGTACTTTTAAAGGAATTCACTTTAAGGTCGGTAAATATCTACGATTTTATAAAATTACTCAGATATAAAAAGTTGATTTATAACGAAGTTTACAACCCTGAATCCTGTGTAGCTCGAGAAATTTAATTGTGAAAATATTGTCATGTTTTTCAATTTTTAATATATTAATTTTTCGGGTAGGTTGGTATTATTTCCCTAATATTTCACGCAATTATTAACTTTTACTTGTTGTAACTTTTATTTATTCCGGAGATAAATCTAGATTCGCATAAATTTTGCAATTGTCTCGTGCGCAATCAACTATTAAACAAACACTAGAGCTAAAACTAATATTTAGAGCTAAAACTAATATTAGCGAGCGGTGCGCCTAATCACGGCGATAACGCTTATCACCACTCCACGCGGCTTAATTGTATGTTTAAACTGCATTTACATATATAGGCGGCAGTGGGTAGCTACTTCGTTACAGAATAATTTCCGTTAGACATTTATTAAACGCCGGTAAATGGTTATAAATTCTGACCTCACCAATTTTGAAGTCGCTAAATAAAAACTAATCCGTTCGCGATAAGTTTGCCGCTGGCGATATGACGTCACTCGAAAAGAAGTGTCTATAACTATAGTAAACTATATTGAAAATATTTTTTATTTATTAATATTGATAAATATTGTGTATTTGCGAAAAACAAGATACATTAATTGCGTTAATCACTAACTAATTGCGTTTAATCGCGGTTGGGGGAGGGGACGCGCATTCTACGGACCGGCAAACTTAGCGCGAACGGGTAAAACATGACCTCATAATTTTGTTTCTACCCTACAAATTAATATTCATAAAAGAAGAAAAAAGTAAGCAAGATTCCTCCAAAAACTTTCTTCGTAAAAAGAACCGCAAAAAGAACAAACAAACTCATCGAAAAGTTAACGACAAAAAATCAGCATACTCACATTCCAGCCGATCACCTCACAGCGCACAACACAAACAAAACGAAAACCATACGAGTGTTCGACACAAAGTTTCGCGCGCGTCCGAAGTTTCCGCGGTAGGTGGCGACAGACGTCCGACCAGAGCGGCGACCGGCGCTAGACTGGCTGTAGCGGGCCCGTAGCGCGTGGTCGTAGCGCGTAGTCCGTAGCCGCCTACGAGCCATTGATGATACAAAATTGCTTTTTCCTCTTGCTCAATGTGTATTTTACCGTTTTATTGTTATATTAAAAAATACTAACTAAAGTTAATAGTAATTTAATCACCTAGTTTTCTACTTTATTAATTTCGCTGTGTGACTATTAAAATGTTTGTAATGATAATTTACTTGCCTCTATGGCAAAAATCCAACTTCTTCCAGATGATGATAATGACAAGCTTGATTATTTGTTTTGAATTTAATTTATCCACAAAACTAATTGTTTTTCGCTTTTGTTTGTTTGAAATATGATCACCATTCAGTATTTGCTAGACTTTTACGTTTTCATGTTAACTTGTTAACGTTTGATATGCAAAAATGTTACTCCCTAAGCGCAAACTAGTGATTATGTATTTTCATCAAACTAGAGTTGTTAACTGTATTTTAAACTAGCTTTTGCCCGCGGTTTCACCCGCGTGAAATTTAGTTTGTCACAGATCGTCATAAATTATAGCCTATATGTTATTCTGGGTTATAAACAATAATACTGTTAAGTTTCATCAAAATCCGCGTATCAAAATCAAAATCAGTAGTTTTTGCGTGAAAGAGTAACAAACATCCAGACATCCAAACGTTCGCATTTGTAATATTAGTAGGATTATAATATTAGTAGGATAGCGTGTACGAGTAATATATTTCGTTTCACTCGGTGGTACTAACTACTGTTCATTACCATTTCGAACCGGTTTTAAACTGGTCGCGTCATGTGTGTTGGCAGAAACTTAGATGCAACTCAAAAGTAACTAGAAGTTGCAGTTTCGTTGCAATTGCGTTTCACCGTGTGTTCTGGGCCTTACAGTTTGAAAATAATGTTCCTTTGAATATTCGTCAAGAACGATCGCTATCGGCACCCGATCGCATCGTAATTAGATCAATATTAGCGCGATCAACAAGATCGACATCCTCCGGCTCACCGGCGTGTATAAAGATCCCGGATTACATGGACGATACATAGATAATATTCTTGACGTGATGATATCACGGCTTGATTGTTACAGCAATCTAGGAACATAATTAGATGAGATTTGATCTGATACAATGTTGTAATATACTATTACGGTATTATAGTGCAACTAGTACGCCCGGTGGAGTGATTTGTGGCTTGTGTCACATATTATAATGTTACACATTATGTGTTATAATATATAATATAAATAATATTAAATAAATCTTTAGCAAGCCAAAGTGGCAATGGGCAGGGCAGAATTACTGACGGCCGATAGGGCAGCAAAGTTCTGGAGTGGAGGCCGCGTACCGGAAAACGCAGCGTTGGACGTCCACCTACAAGGTGGACCGACGACATCGTAAAGGTAGCAGGGAAGCGCTGGGCGCAGGCCGCTACCAATCGATCAATATGGAAAGCATTGGGGGAGGCCTATGTTCAGAAGTGGACGTCCTATGGCTGAAATGATTATGATTATGCTTGTGTTATGGGTGTATTTTAACATTTAGTATGAGTGGCAAAACTTAAAATCCAATAAGTAAGAATGACATTTTTGAGAGACAATTCTAAGTTGAGCTAGCTTAGTTAAATGTTTCTATTTCAGTTACATTTAGAAGTCTTACACAATAGGCCAATGTCGAACCCCGATATTTATAAACAAAACTAGCTTTCCGCCCGCGGCTTCGCCCGCGTGGAATTTTGTCTGTCACAGAAAAACTTTATCGCGCGCGTCCCTGTTTCAAAAACCGGGATAAAAACTATCCTATGTTCTTTCCCGGGACTCAAACTATCTCTATGCCAAATTTCATCAAAATCGGTTGCGAGGTTTAAGCGGGAAAGCGTAACAGACAGACAGACAGACAGACAGACAGACAGAGTTACTTTCGCATTTATAATATTAGTTGGGATGGGATACTCCTAACTTACGCTCCAATCTATATGGGTCATGCGTGTATAGTAACAAAGATTCGTGATTCATTCAGATTTCACACTTCAACGTCTACGTCACTTTCATGTTGCCATTAGATCGTAATCACAAACAAAAACAATGATAACATTTGTTCAGCGATTGAAAATAATCGCCGTTTATTTTCCGATTCGACGAATAAGCTTTTAACCTCTCGATTTGTTTAACAATCGCAATCGATCTTTCACTCGGCCGCGCGTCGCCTAGCGCCAGGAATAGCGAGTTCGATACGCATTTTTAGAAGATTCCGTAAGAACCGCGTGACGGACAGACGGACGGCTTCGGCCCTTGAAGATTGTAGCATCAAATAACTACTTCAATCTGAATCATTCGAACTTGTACTTTATTAAGTAAATATACAAAAGGCAATAGTAGATATAAGTACTCGTAAGTAAAGCTCTTGTGTAAACAGTATTATACTTATTATGTAATTTTAATGAAAACACTTTTCATCAGAAAAAACAATATGCGGCACAACTTGTCAACTTTCTTGTTATTTGTAATAGTTTGTATATTTACAAAAAACCGGCCAAGTGCGAGTCGGGCTCGCACACCGAGGGTTCCGCCGTACAAACGTAGCGGTTTACAATTTATGACGTATTAAATCAAATTACTTACTTGATTCCGTTGCGAGTAGTGGCAAATTTCAANAAAATACGTTAGGTGGTTAGGTATTAGTTGGGCACTATTAAAATTCAAAATTAAACACTCCAATAAAACTCTTTCGGCAGATAAACCCCCATATAGTATTATTCAAAATTCAAAATTACCACCTCAAGTCATAGCACAAACCGGAGTCAATTTGATGATCAAACTGAACCGTTTTAATGACAAAATTGGATAGCAAAGAAAATGTTGACTCAATATTATGATAATATAGAAAATCAACATTTTAGCACAAAATCCGATAGCAAACAAATTTGGAAATAAAACATTTTAGCAAATTAAAAATATACATTGAACATAATAAAACAAGTAACAAGGAACATATATAAAATAGCAGAAAAATAAATAGCAAACAAAAAATTTAGAAACAAGAAAACAGTATTATTTCGAAAATTCAAAACATCTAAATTAAAACAGCACATTGGAGAATCTTTACAAAAGAAAACATAAATTAAAAAGAAAATTAGGAAAAGCAAAAACTCACACAACTAACTTTAAAACCCTAAACAACACAGTAAACAAATGAACCAAACATAATACAAAAGGCTCTGATAAGCAAACGTCAGAGGTACAAAGATTAAAAAAAAAACACCAGGGTTCGAGGATATACGAGGGGCGGCTGAAAAGTTTTGAGCCTAAGTATCTTCAAGTGTTATTATTGACTCGCGCTAAATTTAATTAATTTGCCAATAACCTCCTTAGTATATGTACAAAGTTTCATTTCATTAGCGTCATCACTCTTTTAGTAATTCATCCGTAAACATCATCATGTCTCAGTCATCCGCGCAATGTACGAAATTGAAGTACACAGTTGTCATAAAATACCTCAAAAAGAGGAACAAAACGCTGACGGTAACATTTGAAAATATATCTACAGTTTATGGGGCGTCTGGGCCTTCATTTGCCACCATGAAAGTTTGGATCCGATAATTCAAGCATGGCAGGGAGTCGCTAAAAGATGACCGCAAGTCAGGGCGGCCAGATTTCGCCATTAACGAATAAAATAATGAAAATTTAAAGAATCTTGCTTTAGAGATCAGCGAATTAAGCTGTGACATATAGCTGAAGCCATAGGCATTAGCAAGGAACGTATTGGCGATATTATTTATACTCATTTGCACATGAAATAGGGGTGCGTGCGATGGGTGCCAAAAATGCTCACGCCGTTCGACAACCAGCGTCGAGTCACAACTTCGCAAGAGTTTTAGGATATCTTTGGCCACAATCCTAACATTTTTTTTCTCACATTGTCACTATTGATAAATAATAGATCCGGCAGTACGATCTAGAGTCAAAATAAGAGTCAATGCAATGGATTCAAAAGGGAAAACGCCGCCTCGGAATTTCAAAGTGGAGCGATCGACACCCAAGCTCATAGCCACTATTTTTAAGATTGTGGAGGAATTTTATTCATTGACTACCTACTTAAAAAAAACTACAATAAATGGGGATTATTATGCTGTACTGTTGATAAACGTGCGTCAAGTGGTTGTTGAAATATTAAAAGGCAAACTGGCGAAAGGAAATCTGTTATTGCAAGACAATTCGCCCGCGTACACCGCGCATTTTGCATGGCTTGCCCCGGGTAAAACTGGGTTTCAAGAAATTAATCACCCACCACACAGTTTAGTCCGAATCTCTAGCTATTTTGTCTAATTCTCAAATTGGAAAAAAGACCTCCAGGAACGAAGATTTTTGAGTGACAAAGAAATGAAGGCGGCGTTAAAGGCTCATTTCGAAGGCAAAGATTGCGAATTTTTTTTCAGTGGGTTAAAAGCTCTTTTACATAAATGTAAGAAGTCCGTTGTAGTAGAGGGAGATTAAATAGAAAAATATATTTTTTATACTTTTCTATCGGCATTTTTAATACCCTAGGCTCAAAACTTTTCAGCCGCCCCTCGTATATCAAGGGATATATAATTATCAAGATANGCCTACAAAACGGCCATTTTGGAGACCCAAACCCCAAATGTTACACATTATGTGTTATAATATATAATATAAATAATATTAAATAAATCTTTAGCAAGCCAAAGTGGCAATGGGCAGGGCAGAATTACTGACGGCCGATAGGGCAGCAAAGTTCTGGAGTGGAGGCCGCGTACCGGAAAACGCAGCGTTGGACGTCCACCTACAAGGTGGACCGACGACATCGTAAAGGTAGCAGGGAAGCGCTGGGCGCAGGCCGCTACCAATCGATCAATATGGAAAGCATTGGGGGAGGCCTATGTTCAGAAGTGGACGTCCTATGGCTGCAATGATTATGATTATGCTTGTGTTATGGGTGTATTTTAACATTTAGTATGAGTGGCAA